AGAAAGAACCAGAGAAAAGCTTGGTTGTTTGGTCGATTTCCTTCTCTATAAATAGAGCCTACTTTAGATTGAAAATGTACTAATGCAGGAGGCATAGCTTTTCAGCGGATCTTTTGGCGATTGGCCTGCCTGCCGCATGATCCCAATCATTTTTGTATATATCGAAGACAGTGATGGAGAAAGGTCGGATCTTTAGGAGGGATTATGAACTTTCTATGTATTGGAAGTTGAATTATTGCGATTGATTCGAGCCATTAACGCTTGATTTAAATAACATCACTCCATCATAGGATCTGGGTATGAGGAGTATGAGCCATTTCTTGCAATGGCTCTAATATCCCACGCAACAATCTTGAACCATGGGATTGGCCAGATGTTTAGATGGCAAACCATTATGTGATTCTACTAGAAAGTTGATTATGTTTTGTGGGGCTCAAGTTTCCAGCCCAGAGCAGGACCGACCGAACCGTGGCGAACCAGTCTATCTCTTTGAGTTTTCCCACTTTCACTCACCACTTTCAAAGTCCAAGTGTGCAATCTTCGAGCCAGGCACAAGGCATTTGACTTATGAAGTGGTTAGACTTGGGCCTCCATTCAGTCTCCAGACGCTTTGCTTGGAAATTTGAACATCATCTTCCTTCTTCTCAAAAATAATGAAAACTCGTCCCCTCTCTCTCTCTCTCTCTCTCTCTCTCTCTAATCTTATTGTTGGGTGTAGTGGATGATGAAAATGGGGTGGGGCGGATGATGAAAATAGAAGGATATAAAAGATAGGGAAAATTACATACATATCCATTGTATTTGCCGTATTGCAAATGCATCAAATAGTTTCCGTTGTTACAAGTTTGTCCGTTTTTTACTTTTTATAACGTAATTTTTTTAAAAAGATGACTTTACCTTTTTTCAAGTGTTAAACAACCGAATTGAAGGTTTTTTCAGATACGTTAAACAACCGAATTGAAGGTTTTTTCGGATGTTCAAGTCACTGTGTATTCAAAATGATTATTCCCATTTGCTTAGAAGTGAATATTCGTTTGGAAATTAGATAAAATAAAAAGTAAATTGCATTGATAAAACACTATAATTTGAATTGTACTTTTTAATTGTATAATTTGCATTTTGGTTTATTATTTTTTCTTTTATATCTTCTTTAGTATTTTAATTATTTTTTATTATGTTGAGATTATTATTTATTTATAAATAAATATTATTCTTAAAATAAAACATAAAAGATAAAAATATAAAAATGAAAAGAAACATAAAGAATATTAGTTTTATTCAATGTAATTATAGTTTCCATAACTTGTCACATAAATATTACAATTTAATCTATAACTTGTATTTTGAGTTACTTATTTTCCAAAATATTTTTAACTATATTATTTACCTCTGTAATTTGCATCTACGGTTCATTATTATTTTGGTTTTTATTTTTTTTATATTTTGAACTATATCATTTACTAATATAAATGAAATTATTTTTGTCTATAAGGCTATCCTAGGGTCCTCTTGTGCATGGAGTATCGTTTTTAACATAATCAACATTCATTGAACTACTTACCATTGCTTTATAATAAAATTGTTTTTTTAGCAGAGGCATTTTTTATCATTGGGTGGGGTATAATAGATATTTTCAAAAGAAATTAGTGGCATTTTATTAATGGTTAAAAACAATTAATATTTCATATGCGTCATGTCACACTTTATGCAGATAATGTCATTTTCTATTATAATTAATAAATATATTTTTTTTATCTAAAATTTTTATTTTATCATTCATTAATTACATAAAATAACCCTAAATAAAAAATTACTGCATTTAGGGGTAAGGGTATCAAGTGTTAAAAAACGTTCAATATATTAAAGAAATACTCCATGTTTAGGAGTACCCTAACAAAACCTAAAAGAAAAACCGATAAGGAATCATCCTTTTTTTTTTTTTTCATCTGATATAAGATTAAGGAAACATTATAATATTATAATTATAATACTATAATAAAATATTCTTACTAATATGAATATTTTTCAATTATAATTATATTATTGCATTTTGATAATTCATTTATGACATGGACAATAATAATTATGAATATCATATATATTATAATTGAGATGGAAGGATAATGGTTATAAAGGAGAGGTGAGAGATTTTAGGGAAAGAGAGGAGAGAAATTTATGGAGTAATCATGCTAGAGAAATATGTATAAAAAGGCCATTGGAAAAAAAGTAAAGCTGCATCTCAAAACTCAATAAAAGTTATAGTTTTGGCATTGGAAAACCTTCAAATTGATCATTTTCATCATGATCATTATGGTTGTGAAAGAAAATTTAGGATTTCAAGCCCAAAAAATAATGTTGTAATATATTTTTTAGATCATCGATTTTCAAGTATTTATATTTCTCTAATATTTGTACCATTTTTAAGCTAAAAATTTCATAATCAATAATAGTAAACATAGATTTTAGAGCAATCTTAGAAATTTTCCATGGCCATTACGTTTTCTAAACAAGATGTTTTGTCAAGGAAAATCTAAACAATGAGACCATTTAGTGCGTTTTGTACAAAGTCCCTACGTTATACTATACAAGCAAGGTGCACCTTTAAATTTTGAGAGAACATGTAATTCCGGTATTGAAAAACTTATGGTGGCTGAAAATTCAATGTTCAATCCCAATTATAAAATTTTAATTCTTAAAAACAGTGTAAAAAGAGCAGAGCAATAAACAATTAAAATATGAAAACAGACAATCCAAATAACTTGTGACAAAATGTACCATTGTACTATTTTTAGGATTTGAAATTCGTTTTTTTTTTTTTTATATCTATACATCTCGAAGTTGAGATGATCAATTAGAAGGTTTTTTACTTGAGAACAATCTTTTCTATGAGACTTTTAAGGTTTACTTTAGTTCTACATTATGAGCTTGCAACCTAATATAGACTTGGGAAAATTATGGTACCCCTTTGAAATATACTTTGTAGACATCAAACACCCCAATACTTTTCATATCCCACCTTTAACCCAATTAGTGTTTTTTCTTGCTTTTATCTATCCAAGTCAAAAAGTTATAATTTTTATGATGAAACTACCTTTTTTTGGTACAGGTATCCTCATGTTTCCATCAACTCAAGTGACACCCCTCTCGAAGCAAAAATGGGAATTGGTTCAGCAAAATTTGGCCAAAATACAGTCTGGCATCGGCAGAGCAAAACAAGTGTCGGATTGGAAGAACATGGCCAAAAATTTCGCCCGACAGAAACATGTGCAAGACCGGTCATCAGAAACAACAAGCTGGTTTGACATATTTTCTACCAGACTACATTTTTTTCCATGTTCTTTTGGTCCAATACATTTATTATCGGACCGTGGCAAAACAATGAAAAAATGTGGTCCGACACATAAGTGTGCTAGATCAGTAGTGAGGCTTTTGTATTCGAAGCCTAATGCAGATTTGACATAAATTTGCGCTGGACTGAAAGATAATATAGTGATCTGGTACAAAAGTATGCATGACCGAAATCTAGCTTCAAATTTAAGAAGCCTCACTACCGGTCTAACACACTTTTGTGCCAGGCCGCACTTTCTCATTTTGAATGGGGGAGAGATAGACTCTTAATGGATAAGGGAGGATTGAAAGGGTAGTTTACCCGTTAACATATTAATTTTTTGAGAGGGGGTAAAAGCGAAGAAAAATAGTAATTGAGTTAAGGGTGTGATATAAAAAATATATGTGTGTTAGATGTCTACAAAATACATTTGACGAGGTATCCATAAATTTCCCTATAAACTTTATCTATATTTAATAGAAGGAAAGAATTTATATAAGGTTGCAACGTTAAAATGTAGAATTAAAGATGCACCTAAAAAATTTATTGAGAAAGGTTGTTTTAATATTGAAAAATCTTCTAATTGATCATCTCAACATTGAGATGTATATATATATAATATAGTGTAATGACACTATGAGACCCTCCCACACCCATGTGAGTAGGACACCAAAAGATCATCATTAAATTTTGATTAATATCTCTAAAAAGGTTATCACTTGGGCGTGGGACTTGGGTGAATGGGTTGATTTGATAACTTTTTCTAGAGTTTCTGTGTCAAAATTTAATGGTGAACCTTTGGGGTCCCTACCC